GTTTCGTCTTGAAACAAACAAAAATAAAATCTTTTTTTTTTCCTTTTCTTTATTTTTTAAATCCGTTCTGGGCCTTTTGAAGTATTATAAAAAAAAAACACAAACACTGCTGCTGCACTTTTTGTGTGATGTGACGCGTTTGGATCAAAAACAGCGCACAAAAGCTTAAGAGACGCTCCAAACTGCGTCATATTAATACGTGCAAAAAATATATATTGTTTTCGAATGGACATCACAGCTGGGTGGAGAAATTAAAAAAAATACAGTGCCAGAAGCGAGAATCTGAGCGTGTGTGTGTGTAAGTGTGTGTATGTGTGTGTGTGTGTCAGTGCATGGCCCGCTACATGCGACTGTAGAGGGAGCTCCAACACTAAGTTTACATAAACTTCCTCTGATGCTCTCACACATGCAAATGTTCCCATCACGGGCCGAGCAGAATAAATGATGTTATTATTAGTCCTTACGGCCTGCCATATATTACAATTAAAGCACGGAGCAGCTCCGGTTCAGGACAGAAAATAATGTATGATGTATATGAAGAAGGAAGAAAAAAAAGGGGGGATTACAAATTGAGCAAAATGAGATGTGGGAGTTGCAAAAAAAATGATAATAATAATAAAAATCCATCTTCAGCCTCAACTAGAACCAAGCAGCAATAATGTTCCAAACAGCCATTCATTACCTAAACTATCCCACTTTTTAAAAGCATAATTTTAGAGGGAAATTAATGAAAGAATTATGCGTTTTAATGCGACCGCTACGCCTCTGTATACAGGGATAATCCCGCAACATTAATATCCAAATGTATGCTGGCTAATTAGCCCTAAGTCCCTCTGCTATAAAAGTGTGATAAATCCCCTCTCGAATATTTACTTATCACTGCCACGGAGGATGAAGTCTGTGCCCCAGGCTGTCCACTCTCACACACACACACACACACACTTACACACAATCAAGCAACACACCTCAAGCTGCAGTGCCCAACAGTATCCACCATCAAAAAGCAGCTGTCAAAAAATACTTCAAGCACAAAATAAATAAATCACCAAAAATAAAGCAGCAAAAATAAACAACCTTGTTTTTTTTTTCTTTAAGTTGCAGCAGTTTCATTTATTAGCCAAAAATATAGACTTTCTTGTACAATTTGGTTCACAAGTATGTACATTTTCTTAACTTTATATACAAAACATTTCAACATCAAATCCTCACAGAAACTTATACAAAAAAATTAAAATAATAATAATAATAATTAGAATAAAGGAAGAAAAAAATTGATAAAGGAAAACTAAAACTCACAGACTACAGGTTCATACTTTATTACATTAGCTTTTTTTTTCTTTCTTTTTTGTACACAGGACATGCTTACAATGTAAGTAGGCTATACAGAGATGTGTTATTCTTATTTTACATTGCCATATTTCAAATTAAAATGGAAGGACACACATGGACAGGCAGAGATGACTCTGAGGCCTGAACTGAAGTAAACAAAAGATGAGAGGGAAAAATAATGGGCTGTATAAGGGTAAAGAAAATAAAAAAACAAAAGCCTCATGGAGAGATAAACGTGATAAGAAACTGATTCTCTTTAGAAAAAAAATAAGATATAAAAAAAGAAAATGAAACTTTGAAGTGATTTTGCATTGAGCTCATTTGCATTACCAAACAAGTGAGTTGAACACAGGCCTTGGCGAAGACACACACACACACACACACACACACACACACACACACACA